CTTTACAAACAAAACCGAAATTCACAATCGTTCTCACTTTCAAGAATAAATCAAAGAGATCTCATGTGGGCATGCTTAATTCTAGAAAATAAGGAAAATGATAAAAGTTTAATTTCCCTTTTTAATCATGCTCAAATGCAATTAAAATCCATTTAAGCCTCGCCACCATCTCAGAAAACAATTAAAATATGGTTCAAAAATTTACGGGCTTTACCATAATTTACTTACCTTAATTACTCAGGACAGAAGGCCTAATCCCAGCACTAGGATCACAAGGCAATCAAGGACCTAATCACAATATTCTCGAGTTAATATCTATAATGAAATTTTATTCATTTATTTATTTTCATTTTTGCTTTCTATGTGAAAATCAAGCATTAACCGGGATTGGGTATTTATCTATATATCTACAATTATGTAATTACCCATATACCATTTTTCTCAAATCTATGGACAAGCAATGGGAGAACCGGCCTTGACAAAAATGGCCAATTCACGGGTTCTCCCCTTTCCTCATGGACACCCACACACAACAGCCAAAACTCCCTAATTTCCTACACAATTCATCAACCAAAACCCATTTTCAATAGCCAAAATTCATCCCTATTTCAACAGAATTTTCGGACAACCAAGCTCATTTCATACAACCAAATAACTCACAAAGCAGCCATTAATCCGCTAATTCTCAAAGATTAGAGAAGCCAACTTACCAGAAATGCTCAACAAGCAAAGCTGGAGCTGGCGGGATGAAGAGGTGCCGACGGGAAGAATTGCAGGGGGCTTCCACGGGACCACTAGAAATTGGAAGAACAAGACAATTTGAGTGACCCAACTTAAATCAAGGCTGAAAAAGAGGAGTTTCTGGGCTGATTTTTACCAGGAAAAACTGGTATTCACTCCAGCAACACCGGCGGCAGGGGGGCAGAAGGACAGCAGATCCGAGAAAATTTCTGCAAGGGAGAAGATTTCTAAGTCCTAAACTTGTTCTTGAGCAAGAGAGGAACAAAATTTATCAAGTTCTCTTACCAAATTTGCAGATGGGGGCTTCGGTTATGGCTGGTGATGACCGGCTGCGGAGGAGAAGAAAAACAGAGCAGACACGCGAAATGGCTGGGGGAGGAAAGAAAGAAAGAAGAAAAAGAAAAAAAAGAAGTGAGTCAGCCGGCCTTATCCAATAAGTCTTAACCCCTTTAAGTTTGAAAAATTGACAGTTAGGTCCATTAATAATGTTTCTTCATCATTAAGTCCCTAACTCAAGTTAATATGCTTGAAATTTTTGGGGTATTACACCTTTCATTTTGGTCTTCCTCCTATAGCATCTTGCTTTCCTTTCCTCTGTTCTTCTCTTCAAATACATTCTTCTTGGTCTTCCTCTTCTGACAGCAAGTAGTTCTTGCTTTCCTTTCCTCCATTCTTTCCTTCAAATCATTGTAGCATTTTTCTTCTTACAGTGTGTGAGTTAAGCAGTGGTAAGTGTTATTTACTTAGTTTTATTATTTTATATTAAATTTAAATATTTGATGTATATATATTTTTTTGAAATTTAAGCTATCAAATATTATCATTAGTTCATTGGATATTAATTTTATTAGATGGTTGTTTTAGCTAAATTTTTTGGATAGTTATTAGTAATTTTTGATAATTTTTTAGTGAAATTTCGATAATTAATAGTAAAATTTGTAAATAATATAAATAATATATGGTTTGTGATTCACACTTTGTAACTATATATGGTTAAATTCCATATAATTGCATTTTTTATAATTGTAGAATTGCAAATGTAGGTTTAAAAAAATTAGCTTTTATCTTACATATGGAGAAATTTTGTCAAATTTTTTTAAAATTTATGTCCACTAAAATGATTAAAATATAAGAAAATTGTTAGGTAAATTTGGAAAATGAGATAATAAGGGATAGAATCTGGAAAGGAAGTTGGGGAGTTTAGGGGATTTTTACCATGTAGGACATAATTTTTCCAATAAGCTCCACGTCGACAGTGATAACTTACCAACAAGAATGTTGTCCACAATAATTGATTACCAGCAACATCCTTGTTGGTAAAATGGGGAGAATACTTTCCAATATGAAGCTTGTCGGTAATTTGGGCATGATTGGAAAATTTTTGCACATTTTGAATTCTCGCGTGCAAGTCACATAATGATGTGAATTTTGTTAGTAAAATAAACTCCGACAAGACCCACATTGGTAAAATACTCTATATATTATCACAGCATCATAACCCACTCAATTCTTCTTTCTTTCTTTCCTTCTTCTTCTTTTTTCTTCTCCTCCCTTCTCTGTTCCTCCTCTTCTCTTCCATTATTTAGATGCTACTAGATTAATTGTATTATGTTTATAATTACATTATATTTATATAATTTTAGGTTTCTATCTTCTCAATTTCCTCTTTTTTTTCTCTTCCATTCTTTCTCTTTATTTGATTAAACATTAATTTGTGTTATTAATCAATTAAATTGCAATTCTAACTTGTTTTAATTTTGTTTTCCATGAAACATTGTTGGGAGAGACAATGGTATGATTAAATCAATTTTATTTATGTAAATTACCATTTAATTTCATTTTTATTTTGATTATTATTATTTGGTTGAAATAATTATATATAAATACTAACTTAGTTTATGTTTTTTTTTTTTTTTTAGGAAATGGTGTTTTGTAAATTAACCCTATTGAGGTAATTTTTAATTTTTTGGATTATGTAATTATATTTTCAGTTTGTAATATTATTCTTATTTTCTAAATTTTGTTTTAATCATTAATTTGAATAAATAAACATAATAATCTACTAACGATTTATAGGTCCGAGTAGAAAAAGTTCGGTTCCCCTTAAGTAAGATTTCAATTTCGAATCTTATGAATAGAGAAATAGACACTAGGAGAGTTTCCTTCCAAATAAGGTCTGACGCTGCTCGATTCTGAATTAGTCGGAATCTAATGTGGTTATTGGATACCTGGAAGTTAATATAAAAAAAAATAAACACAATAATCTTTTTTATGTACTGTAATATTTTAATATTATATTTATTTTTCATAAAATTAAATATTATGAATTAGGTAATATTTAATTGTAAATTAATTGAATTAAATAAAAATTATATATTAATTTCAATATTAATTCAAGAAACATTTTTTTAAAAAAACTTTGTCATATTTATACCCATGTGACCTTTGTCGATAATTTGCCAAACTGAAAATTCTTGCATGACATTGTCGATTCAAATTTTAGACACCATTCTCCTTGGTAATTACCCGACCTGCTCAGTCACTGTTCATACTAGGTAGAGGCGTGATTCTCGTCGGTAACCATCGCATTATGCCACCTGCAAAGACACTGTTTATTGTACTGGGAGACGTGCACTTGGTCGGTAAAGACATGATTCTCGTCGGTAATTAACTTACCATGCCAACTACAGAGATACTATTTATTACACTAGGAGACGTGTTGCTCGTCAGTAAATTACCAATGTGAGTTACCAAAAAGGAACTCCAATCATACTGTTCCAAGAAAACTTGGGACACATGTTTTTTGTCGATAATAGGGAATTAGTTTACCGACGTAACTTTTATCCATGTCAGTAAATAAATTACCGATGCCACTTTCACCGAGGACCCCATTACTGACGTGATTCTTATCAGAAAGTTGATTTACCAACGTGATTTCCTTTCTTTCTGACTTGATTTCTCGTCGGGGAATTTATGAATTCTAGTAGTGT